TCGAAAATCACTCGATTACGTACCACCCATGTGTAGACGGCCGTGTAAACAACTTGTCCTTTTACCAGGAATTCGACGAACGAATAATACGCATACTTGGCACCGATTCGACCGAAAATCGGGCAGGTGCCCTCGTTAACACGTTTCGAGCCTCCTTTGATATTACTATTTTATGAAGGTCTATCTACCTATTATTGTACATACACCACACAAGCTATTATAAATTATCATTTTAGGAATTATCAAGCGATATAACATAGGTTATATAGATTTATGGCGACGTGTTCGTGCATTGCGCAAACTCGCATATGCAAAATAATATTAAAGATTTCACGGTAACTTTTGATCACCGTGTACTCATGTAGAAAATAGTATTCCACTTTTGAACTTTAAATATTAACATGCAAATTCGGCAATTTTGCATCAAACGCTTAGTCCTAACTAAAATAACGGGTGACTATAGTATTTGTGCATCGTTGCACACGGAGAGTGACTGCCTATAGTATTAAACTCTGTGAAAAGCGAATAATAATATAGCGCGTATTGTGTGCTGCGTATCATGTACTTACAGTGGCGTGCAGGTGTTTATATTATACGAAACATCGTGAAGCCTATTTTAGAACTGTTTTATTGTTATAGTCGGAAAATTTCAATACTACGCGAATAAACCCTGTCTGTTTTATTACTTTGTAATAATAAACACATAAATTGCACACAATGTGCGTTTTTCGTTAACGTTTGTGAACATGGGATTCCTTCATACCACCAGACTAGATGAGTACAGATTCCGTTTTCGTTTAAAACAAATGAATTACGCAATTTTATCGCACACGATAATTTGGAAACTGCCTACTCATTCGCAATGAATCCGTATACTAGAAAACTGCAGTGCAAATAAATAATAATCATGTAACAAGATAATAATATGTATACATGTGTGCTATGTTAAAATGTATTGAATGTAATCGTATACTGTAATACAATAAATTACTATTATAAATTCGACGTATGGTTCTCACATAGCACTATGCTAATAATACGTTACAAAATGTTATAATAATATGGTACGTATTATCATTATTACCATTTGATACGATTTTTCTACAAGGCAGCGTAAATATTATATTTTACCTAGCGAAGTAAAAACTGATAAAAACTACGCATGGTGTATGGATTACAAATAAAATTTAAATGTAAAACATTTCGCATTAGGTTAGGTTTTTTAAAATATGGTAAACAATTTACAATATTTCGTACTTTGTACTTTTTACTATAACAAATATTCACAGCATATCAATAAAAATATGTATTACTTTTTTGTTTGAAGTAAAATTGAAAAACGAACAAAAAGTGTACAGTGTATAAGCTTAGGTAGACGGAATGATGATACAAACAAGGTATAGGGTAGAATTCTCATCATTGTCCCATTTCGTAAACTGATTATATCAACAATAATATTATCTTTATTAGTATTTATTTAAGTAATTGGTAAAAATTCTATCAAATTTATTGAACTATTTATCGATACCGGATTTGTCAAATTACATTATAATATATAATGTACATTTTTATCGCTAAAAAACAGTAATTACTGAGATGAAATAAAATAACCTCCACGAATTAATATTTATTTATTTTTTTTATTGAATCTTTTTAGTCTATTATTGGTCATGAATATTTTATACTCGTCACTACACGCTACGCTATTAAAGTGTGTAAACAATGATAACTATAAAAGTGCATTGTCATAATTTCATAGTTGTATATTTCTTAAATACTCTATTAAGGTACCTTTAATTTTATCGATATTATATTATATTAATTAAACCATAGTGTAAGTAAATTGTCCTAAATTGTTCTCATTGTCTTTACAATTTATTATCTAAGTATTTTACGGTAAATATATGGGTTATATATTATTATATTATTCTTATATTTCTGAACAGCAGCAATTTTATTACCTAGTACATAGTCCAAACAAAGATTTTTGTTTGCATAAACTTTAATTTTTGGTTTTTTTTTTTTTTTTAAAAAGACTATAGTATTAAACTAACTAGTCTCTTTTATACAAATACGCAGTGAATCGATTTACTTGCTTACCTACTCCACAATTTATCTTTTAATACTTCATTTCTTTAAATTCTTATTTTTGGAATTTTAAAATATTTAAATACTTAAATTTCCTTACGATATAAAAGTATTCTTTTGCAATATAGACTTGTGTTCAAATAAAATCACTCTTTATCACTGTAAATTATACTAAGTCATGATATGTTTTTTTTTTTTTAATGTTAATATTTCCAAATTAAATTCTATAACTAGTAGTCTCTATGTTGCTAAATTTTATCTAGATACTAAAAATCATATTACTGAATAATGTTTTTACGTCAAATAAAATACATATTATGTAACTGATAACTATAAACAATTAATTTTTTTTTTTAATTATAAAATTGTGTCAATATAATATTAATTACTAAATTATTCAAATCTTTTTAAATATACTCGTTTAAATTTAAATCAATAAATATCAGAATTAAAAAAAATAAATAAATAACCATTGGCTTTTATTTTTCAAAATCTCAACGAAAACCGATATCAAAAAATTCAAACTTAATTTAAAACCGTTACTAATACTGTAAACAATTTAGAAAACTGAAATTAATAAAAATAATTTTATGTATTGGCATTTTATAACTAATATCAATGTTTACGAAAATTATAGTTATACGTTATAAATATTTATTTATCATTATGTAATATGTGTTTGAATTTATTAATAGAAATTTTAATTTAACTATAAAAAATAATTGTTAACAGTTACCATCGCTAAAACCAATAGGTATCGAAAGTATTCACTACTAATCTTCAAACCTATACATTATATAAATCTAAACAAAAACTGTTCATGAAATTGAAACGTTTCTATTTGCATATTAATTTTTTTAAATACCATTAAACAGTAATTCCCAATCTTTTCAGTTATACGGACTATCAATTTTGTAAAAAATATTTGAGGCTCTCTATAATAGCTTACCTATAAACGTATGCACACGTTAATTATTAGAAATAGAAGAATTGAAAAAACAATTATTTATTCTAAAATAACTAGTCAACTTAATTGTACGTGAAATACTGAAACAGTTTAATGTGATTTTTGACCTTGCTTGTCCCCCTACGGCTACAAAAGAGTCATATCTGGATTAAAACTGGATAGTTTTAGACTAAAATCACTCTCAAAATCAGTTTTCTCTTATATTTATTTAAAAAAAAAAAAAATATGTAAAAATAAATTAAATTGTATAAATAGATTGTCGAAAAGTCCATCAAGTTTCTGAGAGGTTTCATTTTCCTCCACATTATTTTCGACTAAAATTATGTCTATTTTCCTTCAATATTTTAGCCAGTGTTATTGTATTATGTTCCATACTATTAAGATAGAGTAAGGCTAGGATCACAATTTGCGCTTATCGGTTGATATAATTACATTCTGGTATCGACTGTCTATTGATTGTTCATATTATGTCTAATTTTCTTTTCCTTAAACGGGTATTCATTTGTTGCTGAAATGTCCAATAATTATAAAAAATATTAAAAAATATAATATTATAGTAAATTAATTTTTATTTTGATATATATAAATTATTTGTATGAACTATTTTATTCTTTTATTTGTATATAACATAATACCTGACAAAAAACAAAATATTTTAATCAATTTCATTTTTTTTTTTTTTTTTACTTTACCTATTTTATTTATTATTTATTGGAGGAAAATGGACCGTGGAAGAAAACAATATCTGGTTTTTGGAGGAAAATGGCTTCGGCCAAGTTTCTTAGTGTAATTTATCACGGTAAAATACGATACAAATGATTAGTAACAGGTCATAATAAACGAACTACATGAGATAAAACTGTATTCAAACGGTCAATAACGTAATTATGAAAAAAATATATAATAATATTATTTTAAATATAATATACGTTAGTTATATATATATATCATATATGTTAATATTATATGATTTACGGCCCGGTACCACGCTGCTCGCGGCCCATGGATTGGGAACCGCTGCCATAAAGAATTCAAATAGTTAAAAAAAATAATAGTGTCTTAGTATATTTAAAAATTTTAAAAACCAGAATTTTAATAAATGCATTAGTTAAAAGAGAATAAGGGTGTATTTACATGAGAAATCACACTGTATGCACAATACACTAACTCATCATTTTTACAAGCTCTTTTTCCCCGACGAAAATGATTTCTTCTTACAGCAATGTTGGGAAACCCTAAAGTAGTAAAACATAAATAAATATATAAACTGTATACATTTATTTATGTTTTTGTGTTTTTTTAAAAGCACGTGTAATATTATACAATGACTTGTCTAAAATTAAACTCCATTTTTACTATTAAGACGGCTATCGAAACATTCAATAAATATAATTTTGTAATAAGCATCACTTGTGAGTTTCTCACACACACTTAAGCATTACACATACTAAGGCCTCAAATGAACCTCTACTCCGGATTATACGAAACCCTACGTCATTTTTTCAACTAAATCAATTTTCAAGCAAGCTCTAAGACGCATATGCATATTGGTGTTCAGCACTAGGTTAGTCTTATACGTTATACGGTATGTTTATTGCTATACACAATCGGATGTATTTTTTAAATACTATCAGTAAGTTAATATAACTGTATGCGTCTACACATTATACTCGCGTATTGATGAATAAAATTATTAGATGACACATCGCGGCGCACGCACGAATGCCTATAATATTACTAATAATTTTTAGTATATAGATAGTAGGTACCATATGAATAACTCCCGTACACAATATTGTATGAGGCGTTGTAAAAAGTGCACGCCCGCGCCCTCATGCACGGATATACGTCATTATTTTATTTTTATTGATATAATTATTGTTTTCGACAAAAATCAATTAATTTCATTTGTTTTATTTGTTTTTTTTCTTTTGTTTTTATATAGGCCGACATCACGTGCAGCAGTACGAAACAATCCGTCGGCGTGATATTTACGCGTACGAATTTTGTCACGCTCAAGTACGTGACAGATTCGTGGGGCACGCGTGTCAACGGTTTTAGATTAATTATAACCGCCTTCAAAGATCCTTGTAAGTATTTTTTTTTTTTAGAGAGAGAAGGAGAGAGAGATAGATAGATCCCAAACGCTGTGCCCGCACCCCCACCTCACAAAGTCCCGCGGTTTTCCACTATTCACCACCGCCCAACGTCACACCGAAACCATTTCGTATACATCAGTGTATAAAATACCGATATTAAGCTCTGTCTGTCTCGTCGAATATTACTCACGGCATTATTTGTCACGCACATATATACACACACGTATTATATATATATATATATTAATTGTATATTGCATGTATTACCATGCATGATACACAATATCAAATTCTTATGCCCGTTCGATAATAACGAATACCATCAACACACTTACCATACCATCAATGTGATATTAGGTCCTTTATATATTTTCGTCAAGTCGTCTAATCCCTCCTCTACCGCGTACCATTGAAAAAAGTTCAAGTTTTTTCGTTATACCCTATGTATTCGTAATTCACATTACATCTTTATAACGTGTAATATTATAACACAATAATTTTATAACATTTTCGGTTAGAATAACATTGCATCTAATTTATTTATTTCTTATAATTGTACAGTCCACGTATATGCTCCAAATCCATAGTCCAGAATGTATATAATTTTATCAGTATTTTAAAATCGATTAAAAAATAAATCAATCAAAAGTTATTGAAAACCTTAAAAGTTAATAAAATTATAACAGACAGAGCAACAATGCCATAAAATTACATACGCTGTACGACACCTAAATCAATATATATATATTTTTATGTGCATTATCAAAAGTTCGATAAATCCACGTTTAAAAAACGTGTTTTTTTCTTCTGTTGTTCCAGTCCACAATTGCAGGGAATTCAAATGTCAAACGATGTCGCAATGCATCTCCAACGACCTAGTGTGCGACAACATCAACCACTGTCCCGACGGTACGGACGAAGCGACAACGCCAACTTGTCAAGGTACGGCGAACAGTTAGATTAACATTTTTGTATTCAGGCAAGGTAGGGTCATAATAATAAACTTGACGATCAAGTAAATTAAAATACACGTGCAACAATGGGCGAGGGACCATTTTAATCGTACTCTTATTTTAACAATCACAATAATAAAATCGTCGCGTTTATTATTAATTCTTTTCATATTTTGTCATCGACCCGTCGTAGCGATGGCTACGTGACAGACGATAAACTTTTATTATAATTTATGGTTGAACGTACTCACTTATACACACACATACACATACTGTATATACTTCATGTGTATGAAACATTTTTTCAGATTCAGAGCGAAGCGAGTTATTCAAAATGATGATAATGATTAATAATATTTTATGTAGGCTTACCGCTAACGGTTTAATTTTTTCGGTCATTTTAAATCTTTTCAGTATTATATTATTACAAATAATATAATACCTTGCTGTAGGTAATAATTTACCTACTATCCACAATGACAAAATAATGATGTTGAAAAATGTTCAAAACCCAAGGATTTTAACTAAATTTTGATAAACTTTTGAAAAACAAAGCTTTGTTCGGAATTTATTTTTGAACAAGATCGATTGCTTTCAGAAAAAGTGACCCGCCCAATTATCGTTCGGTATTGGATACTGTTTTATTTATTATTATTATTATTTTTTTTATTTATCTCGAATGTCATTTAATATTATTGTTTCAAACAACCTACCTATGCAATGCAATAGTGAAAAAAAAATAATAAGCCAACTACAATTAAAGACCCTCTGCAAAACTCGCTTCTAATTGGGATCGTTGAATATTCCAGTCGAGTCCCATATTTTACGCTGTTTGAGGTTTTAATTCAATGCAATTATAATTGAATACCACTTTAAACTCGTCATTAAATAATGTCCATAACGGAACAGTATTTAAGCAAAATACTGGTATAATACTTTTGCTTATATTGTTTTTCTGACTTTCAGAATTTTATTTTGACATTTTTACTTGATTTGTGTATTTGTGTACATAAAAAAAAAATAACTATTGGATTTCATTTAATATCATATAAGACACTAAACGAGTATTTAATACCTATATTAATTTTAAAACAAATGAAACGATCACTTACCACAAAAGAAGCCGATATATTACAGATAACTCCGTGAAATTTGAACATACCTCAATGACCACCGAGATATATCAAACAATTATTATCTAGTGGAATAAACAATTAGATTTATTAAACTAGAGCATAATAATAATAATAATAATAATAATAATATTATATTACAATCGGCACCCACACGATTCGGTTATGGCGCTGTTCGTAAAACCATGCACGGTAGTCAACCAAATATTATCCAATATCGTCCGCAAAGGATAGAATACCAGCGTGCGCAGCTCCTGCTTAATATAATAATAATTAATAATTAATACTTATATCATAACACGCCTCTTACGATTTATTTTATTGTATCATAATTATATACAATCCATATATACCGTTTCCGTTCATCGTGAAAAATCTTTACCAAATTTATCATTTCGTTCACAGGTGCTTCGTCGTTGACACTGTTGGGCATTAACATCACCATACTCGTAGTCGCCTCGCTTGTTGTAGTCTCAATATTGGGCGTGTGCGTTATCGTGTTGACCGTTTACTGCATATGTTACCGGACGTCGAATGGTACGATCCCAACTTCCAGGCATAGCGCCTCGTTGCACGACACGTCAAACAATTTTCAAAGTAAGTCATTTTATCATAATATTAAGTATGTTTAAATGTTCAGGACCACTAGTCAATTGATATCGTTTTTGAAAAAATAAATAAATATTCACTTGTATGTGTGAGAGAGTAATTATTGTTATCATGAGTCGATGGACAGTGAAATACATTTAAACAAAACGCACGAAATAATGTACATGTTACCAATCTGTGTTATGGTAATTCCTTTTATTTCACCGCAATTCTTAAGTTTAATAATTGGGATTCTGAACACAATAATATTATTGTATCAAACAATATATGCTGTCTAATTATTAACTAGTATAAATTAGGTATAAATAATTGTTATCGTCTAATGTTTATTGACAATAAGAATTTTATTTTTACGAACAAAAAATTTTACTCTCGGAAATTTTACTATTATTATTCCTCTGGATTTTAGTTGTTTTTGACAGTATTTTTCAGCTAAATTACAAACTTTTTTAAACTTTTTCTAAAAATTTAAATAAATAAACTTACTTTAAATGTATTAATCTCATGTTTTAAAATACTATAAAACCCGAAAATCCTGAAAAGTACAAACACATACTTTACAACTATTATACTAAAAAAATACCCCTAAAAAGCATAAAACAAAAAAAGCCTATAACGCTTGAAAAGTTCAAATAAAAATTGGTTTATTTTACGCAGTGTGAATTTAATTTATAGCTTCGTATAATAACAATAAAAAATTTTAAATGCATGTACAATTTAAATTCTAATCATTCATTTGGTCTAAAGTCTAAACATAATATATAAATATTAATGAAAAATCCACTAAGCTGAAAAAAAAATATCTGTTTAACTTGTAACCATTTTAAAACGTTGGGTATTCTAACAATTATTTATATATTATATAGGGTTATTTGACCATTATTTTATTCTTTTGTAATGCACTTAATCAAATTTTGACATTTTGAATTTTGAATTACATTATATTTTTTATGCTACTTTATGAGTGTCCAATAGCGATACAGAATTATTCTTTCATATTAAAACCACCCTTGATATTTATTATGTAGATAACTTTTTTCAAAATGTTGTTGTATTTAAATTTAAATCCATACCAATAATATTTATAATAATTATGTGACTATACTTAAGGATATATACTATCCTTGATACTGACCTTGATTGTTTATAAATAATTAAAAATAAAACATTTTTATTTTTTTATATTTTATTAGTAAATTTATATCAATTATTATAATTTATAAATTATTACAGCTTCCATATATTTAAACATAATATATTAACATTACCTAACTAGTACAGTAAATTTAATAAGTTATCAGATATTATTTTTATATCTATATTTTTAATACCTATATTATATAGTATATATTAAAATAAATTGTTTTCATAAAAAAAAAAAATAAAAAAATAATTGTATATCATTACATCACTATAGTAAAATATATTTATTAAATATATATATATATGAAAAAACTAAAACACAATAATAATAAAAATGATAAAGATAATAATACTAAAAGCTACTACTTGCGTGTTTGACGATAATGATGATAATTTTATCACCCTATGTTACACTCAAGATTCAACAGATACTAAATATCGCCATTAAAATATTTTGTAACGTGTATTTTTGAACAGTGTAATAAGTTTAAAGCTTCTTTGAAGTTTTACTTAAAAATAGAGGCTATTATTTATGTTCCAACACATTATTTATTAATGTATAAAAATATTATTTTTTCTCAGATTATTTATTTTTTCAATGAGAACAACTTTAAAAATGTGAAGTATATTTTATGTATTTCTATCAGATTTAATATTTAAAACATGTTTTTAAAAAACAAATTTGATAATTTTGATACTATTTTTAACGGATCAAATATTGAATAATTTACTCTATCAAATTCATGCGTTTGGCTAATTTTTCATACGATATTATTTTTGTAATGCTTTTGTAATCGTCATAGCCCGTTTGTCATATCAGAACAGTACGAGCAGGATATCATTGTATTAAAATAAGTAAAAAATGGTCAATGATATGTAATAAAATCAATCACATCATGTTGAGTTAAATAATAATAATTATAATGATATTCTATGTTTATTAAAACATCAAGTATGTGTTAAGTATATTATTTTTTTCCAATACGTATAGGTCATAACTGTAAATTAAAAAAATTAATTAGTTACTAATTTATATTAATAAAAAATAAAACTAAAACTGTTTTAATTAAAGTAAAATTATTTTAATCATTGGTTAAAATTTTGTATTTTTCACTTATAAAAACTATTATAAATTATAATTTATAGAACTCATTAATATTGAGTACAAGTGTATTATATGTAATAAAATCTTATTTTTTCAAATTTAAAAATAAATAATAAATATTTTATTTCTTAAAAATATACTTTCTTTAGGTAAATCATGATATAAAATATTGTTTATGTCATAGTTAAATAAAATATCATATAATTTAACTTAAATTCTATGTTAATGACTTATTTTCCTTCAATTAAGCCATTATCTAATATAATATCACGCAGATATAACAAAGCGCATGCAATCTATGGATCTCATCTAATAATTTCCAGGAAGGAGAGAAGAATAGCTGTAATAAATATGAACAAATTAAATTTATCAAAAAAAAAAAAAAATTATATTAATGATAACAATAATGAAATGTGACTTTTAAAAATAACTCTTATTATACAAATAGGTATATTATAAATAATTAGTATTTGATTTGACTCAATATAACTTAATATACACTTAATATAAACTTTTTTTCACACGTTCGCAATTATCTAAATTTACTGATTACAATAATGACAGTTGATTACGAACAAAAATTCCTTAGATAAAAATATCTATATATTTTATGAGACATTAGAAAAATATCAATCAACCAAGTGAAGTATCAATATTGCCTATCTATAACCCCGTGTAATGTTAATTGATTTAAAATGAAATATTATAGTATGGTAAATGGGAAAACTATCTCATCAGTATTTTTTTTTTTTTTTTTTTTTTTTTTATTTAGTTGACCCGCGGCTACTAAGGCCATTGGGTTTTGTTAATGATTAGGTTAACATAATATTAGAAGAAGAGAAAAAAAAAAATAATGATAATAATAATAATAATAGTAAATATAAGGAGAAAATGAAAGATAAACAACAAAAAAAAGAAAGAAAACAAAGACAAACAAACAAACAATAGTGATAATATTGGATTTTGATTTTAGATCTTGTTGAGTAAATTTGATCCTGTGACGAATTTGATAGTAGCTGATATAGAGCTGGGATCCGGGTTGAGTGCTGACGATAGTGATTCTGGAAGCATGGACTTTTCTCGGGAATGATCGAATGCACGGCATTCTGTGAATATGTGTTTAATGTCAAGTAGGACTCCGCATGCAGGACATATAGGGGGGTCTTCTTTGGCCATAAGAAAGCTATGTGATATTTTAGTGTGTCTGATTCTTAGTCTTGTGATTATGATTTCAAGTTTTCTGGGGAATTCCAGGGGGAAAGGCCAGTAATGTATATTTTGTTTAATTTCATGTAGTTTGGTGGAGTGAGAGGACCACAGGTGGAGCCACGTACTTGTGCATTTATTTTTTACAATTGCGAGGATGTCGTTGTACGCGATGATTTTGCATGTTGCTGATTGAGAAGATGTGGACGCCTTTTTGGCGGCTTGGTCGGCGCGTTCATTTCCGCATATATTGGCGTGGCCAGGAATCCAGAAAAGTTTGATTTTTAAGTTACTATTTTGGAGATTTTGTATATAATTTTGAATGTGAAGGCTTATGTCAGAGGGGTTGAGTACATTTTTAATATTGTTGATTGCGCTAAGAGAGTCTGTAAAAATTATTGAGTCTTTGAGGTCATGGTTTTTGATGAGATGGAGAGCTTTGAGGATAGCTATACATTCTGCGGTGAATATTGAACAGGGGTTTCTCATCAGTATTACAAACCCAGAATATAGCATAATGTTCCTTTGGAAGTGCTCACTTAAAAAATGTATTTGTTTTTATAAGTCTATGTCATAGAATTATGCATTTTATTATAACAAGACAGTTTACATTATAATTTTATACGAATACGTATGTGTACGAGATTTGGCTTAAACAAGTAAACCAAAAGTTATTTAAACTTACCAAGTTAGGTATATTTTTTTATGATAATAAAATTTTGTGTAAATATAATATACTTAACAAATTTTTTATGTAATAACAAAGATATGTGTGTGTGTGTGTGTGTGTGTGTATTTAATTAAAAAAGGATTTATTTTTTGAATAATATAACTTAAACTATGTATTTTAATATTTAGATAAATATTATATATTGTATTATTTCTGTAAAACAGATACAACAATACATATTTTTTAAGCACGAAAAGTACTATATATATCGTCATATGAATTGCATGGTAGAAAAAAATATAAACATTTAAATTTCAACAAATAACTGAGTTTTAGGAATTATTAAGTAATAATTTTTAATTTGACCTGTGTAAACTTGCAAATGTTATGACAATAATATACTAAATATTTGAATCACTCTCTATAGCAATATAATTCAGATCTTAATTTAAAAAAAAAAAGTAAATAAAATAGTTTTTTTAAATGTTTTAGGTATGCGCTATTAAATCGACACGGGAAAGAATAATACGTTACGCTTGGCATAAATATGTGGCCAAAGGTATATATTTATTTTTTTTCGTCTTACGTGAATTACCGGACGGGAATTGGTTTTTAATATCGTTTCACGGGATAAAAGTAGCATACGTACAAAATAGTATTAGGTAACGTAAAAGTAAATCTCCGTGACCGTCATCGTTTAGACATAGACACATTAATACCGTCGTCTGTGCTGCGTATTTTCGCGCACACATAAAGATGCGCTTGTGTATGTGTCACTTGTCTGCGCAAATCTTTTCTTTTTTTCTTTTACACCGCAAGTCGTTATTCCGCCAACAATGCCGTCGTTTTAATCGGTTTTCTAAA